TTGATACCAAGAGAGCACTGTATAAACCCAGGCTGGAGAGAGGAGATGAAAGCATTACAACCCACTTATGCTCTTACCAATCCCCGGTATACTCCCTATCCATTCTCCATGTTAGTAGTCTTTCCAAAGGGAAATGACATGTTAGGGAAATCACATTTCTGAAAGAGCTACAGACCAGGAAATACACAAATTAAAAGGATCTGTCTTTTCCAACTCCTCATTGGCTAATGCAGAACTATAAAACCAAGAGACATGAGAGAGTGGGAGCAGTAATGGGAAAATTACATTAACACTAAGAGTCAAAGGCTTTTGATTACAACAATACAGTGAGTTCAGCAGAGAGGGGTGACATTTTTAACAGACTCCAAACTCTTCTAAACTGGAAACAGCACAAACAGGTATCTCTATTTTCAAGGTCAGAAAATGTAACAGCATAATTTTCACTGTGATTCCTAAAACGTTTTTAATCTGAAGCAAAATGGTCATTCAAATACAGCTGTTCTTCCACGCAGCGCAATATAGGCGTGCCTGTTGGATAGTCTCAGCCACAATACAGCATTTACTATAACTTATGCAGAAGGAACAAAGAGGCCAGAGTACACCAGAAGATCTGTTCTGGCTATTACTGGCACAGGCAGATTCAAGAGGGGAAAAGGATGTAAGTTCTGAGAAAAGAAGGAATTGACCACATCTAGTTTCTATGTAACCAACTCCTTCTCGCAAAAACAATCCACATAAAATTCAAATTGTTTTCAAGAAGCCTTCCAGGTTTCCCAAAATATCAGTGCACATCAGCTCTTTCACCAGCTATTATGAATGAGCCAGAGTGAAATAAATAAACCAGAGGTGGTAGCATAAAATTTTCTTGCCAAGATGCATTAAGATCATGTGATGGTGATTATAAAACCCTCAGGAACCACAAGGAAGAAGGATGTTATTGCTACAGTGGAAGATACCCAAATAAATAAAAACACACATTCCTGTTGACCTCTCAATTTCTACAGCTTCCTTTTGTTATCATTGTTTTTGATGATAGTGGTGGTGCTGTGTCATGGTCTGATATTTCTGTTCCAATGGTTGCCAGAAGAAACACAAAAGATGGAGTTTGGCTGCAGAGTGTGTCTAGCCATCCCGGATGGAGCAAGAACAGCTTCTGTACACAGAGCACGTAGTCACATATTTGTTTGTATTCTTTACTGTTTCTTGTTTACCTGTCAACTTCTTTGTGTCAGCACTGAATCCTCTGTCACCGTTCATGTAAAAGGCTGTAACACTGAAGTATTAAATTACTCCCATTAAGTAAATGGAAATACAATCCTTTTTTTCTATACTTTTGTGCCACTCTCTGGTATGTAACCTCTGCCCAGTAATCAGAGCTGAGCAATAAGTCTGAGACTGCTCATAACACTGAGAGCTGCTGGAAAGTTTTTTCAAATATTATTTGGTACATCTCCTCATTCAAGATGTGTACAATTGCTCAGCAGATCTCCCTAAATAATTTTCAATGAGAGAAAGAAAAAAAAAGCCTATAATCACTTAGCTGAACCTGTTGCTTGCTTTACAGGGTTTCACCCATTTTCCTCTTTGAGAAATCTCTATTTTACCACTACAGGTTCCTTTCTCACAGAACCACAGAATGGCCAGGGTTGGAAGGGACTTCAAGAGTCATGAATCTCCAACCCCCTCAGCACATGCAGGGCCACCAACCTCCCCATTTAATACTACACAAGGCTGCCCAGGGCCCCATCCAGTCTGGCATTAAACACTGCCAGGGACAGGGCATCCACAACCTCTCTGGGCAGCCTGTTTCAGCACCTCACCACTCTCTCTGTAAAGAATTTCCCCCTGACATCCAACCTAAATCTTCCCTCCCTCAACTTAAAACCATTTCCCCTTGTCTGCAGCTATCAACCCTTTCAAAGAGTTGATTCCCCTCCTGTTTGTAGGCTCCCTTTAAGTACTGAAAGGCTGCAATGAGGTCACCCCGCAGCCTTCTTTTCTCCAGGCTAAACAACTCCATCTCCCTCAGCCTGTCTTCATAGGGGAGGTGCTCTAGTCCCCTGATCATCTTTGTGGCTCTCCTCTGGACCCTCTCCAACAGCTCCCTGTCTTTCTTGTACTGGGGGCTCCAGACCTGGACACAGTACTCCAGATGGGGCCTCGCAAGAGCAGAGTAGTTAGAGACAGTCATCTCCCTCCTTACTTTACTTGTATTTACATGAAAAGTTCTTCCCACTGAGGCATAGCTATTCTTGATTCTTTCAAAGTAACAACTTTTCTCCAATCAACTTCCATGCCTGACTTTTGCCAGGAAAAACACTCTTTGGTTCTTGGAAAATTTCTCCCCTAGGTCTTGGCTGCTAACAGCTACAGTTAACAGTTCCTCATGGGATTTTTCTAAGCAGAGCATGGCTGCTGCAAAGCAGAGTGCATGACAGGAGATTTTCTATTCTCACAAGGAAAAGGAAAGTATATATACATGCAAAGGCTCTGCGGGCAGAGAGTTCAGAGACCATAGGATTGTTCTGATACGTCCAGGGGACATGCACTTTAAGAACATGCACCAATGCAAGGTGTACCCTGCTCCTTCTGGGCGTAATCGCATTACACTGAAGAGCTGCAAACAACATACTGTTCAGAAGCACTGAAAAGTAAATAAGATGCACTACACTGGCAAATCACCAAAGTATGCCCTCTTGTTCCACATCAGATAACAGTGGTGTTCTTGGTAGTTACTGTAAATCATGAGGTTTTGCAGATAGATATCCCCCAACTTGAAATTATCTCACAGTATTTGTGCATGTCCTTATCAACTAGCTGCAGAGGGAAATTCTTGAGGTATAAGCCACAGATAGAGAATTATGTTCTTTTTGATAATTTCCATTTGGAATTGAATTGCTACTTTAATTAATCCTTTTTTCACCTCAATTTCAAATTGAAATAGCTTAAGTAATCTCCTTACAAATTACTTCATTTAGTATTTCAGCATCCATTACAAGAAAAAACATTACCAACATTCTCCATCTTCTCATACTATGCAGAGTGATAAAGAATAACAAATGTATGGTGTACATCTTACTTGCTCAACAACAGTTATCATGCAGATAGTAACTTATGAAGTTATACAGTTTCTATAGTGACTGTCTCACTAAAATGATCTATTTCTGTAATTCCATCACAGATAAGCAGCATGGTTAAAACTGATGTGTTCTGCAGTCAGGGCTGGCTTAGCAGTGAACAGTGAATGAATTTGTTTCCCCAAGAATATTTTTGGAACAATTATACTATCTTGCAAATGGCAGAAACATAACAAAATATGCCTTGATTTACATTTACTACATCATCATACAACCTATAAAATTCTTCTTTAAATGATTACGATTGCATCGCACTAAATCTGTCAGCATCCATAAAACTACCTGTCACCCTCACAGTTATGATAGAAAGCTTTAGCCTGAGCATTACTGCAGAAACATTGACAATATCAGAGTATCATATTCTGAGCAAAGGCATACTACTAAAAAGCAACCACTGAATCTTTCTCAGTGGGATCGAGAAGCCACTATACTCTCTACGGCTTACAATCCAACAGTCCACCTGAATGCAATCAAAAATGAACTCCTGTGTACACATATAACCTGAGACACACACACAAGCAGTGTGTCTCTTGGTCCATTCTAAGAATATTTTCCAAAGAGATTAATTGGTCAGATTTAACCCTAATATTCAAATTACAGAACATGTGCTATATACTTGTCACAAATCTTTTTAGGGTCCAGTGTACAGCCTTTTCACTACTTTCAATGCCAAGACAGAAAAATTTGTAATCAGATTTCTCAAGAACTCTTCTAACACATTTATTTTCTTCAACATCATTGAAATAAGACATTTACTCACTCTCAGTTTTAATTCTTACTAATTTTCATTGCTTCAGAAAACTCTAGCAGGGCAGCTTCATAATTAAGCTGAGTGCAAAATACTCTGACATTAATTTCCACTTTGTCTGAAGCTTCTACTTAGATCAATTTTTAATATCTTGGTGGGTTGTGTTCTTGTTTGTTTTTTTGCTTTGTTTTGTTTTATTTCGTAAAATCATATAACAAAACAAAGGTGTGCTAACTGTTGATAATCGTAAAACAATTGGAAGTGACAATGTAGCTGATGGGCCTTACACTACTTTAAGTGATTCAGCTCCTTGCTTTCTGTTCACCTACAAAGATAGGTGAACATAGGTAATGGACTGAGAATCTTCTCATTTTCAGTATGTTGTATGCAAGAAATACCTTTTATACTTCAACAGTTCTTAAAGCATGGAGAGAAGCTTTGTTCAAAAGGCAAGATATACAGCCTTGCTATGGCTGTGTTAATACTAACAACAAACAAATTTTGTTACTGTACCACGTTTTTTTGTTTGTTTAACAGTATATTGCAATAGAAGATACCTACGGAGATACTCAGACTCTTAAACAAAATCCAGCCTTTAAGGACTTTCTGATTCAGGACTGCACTTGTTTTCTCTTGTTTACAATGAAGTTCAATGAAATGAATAATGCATACATAGCAGAAGTGAACACAACTGTTGACATTTTTACCACTTCTTACAGACAGAGTTTAGTTTTACAGCTCAGAGTTCAGTTTTGTGGCAATGCATATATTGTGATTCCACCTTTATGTCATGAAACTTTCTTAACACTTGGATTCAACTCTAATTAATAAATGACAGCTATCCTCAAACAGATGAAACACATAAACACATTAGTAAAAACACATCTACATTAGGATTTTATACAGAGGCTTTGATATTAACCTACATATAAAATTTGAGAAAAATTCTAAGTGTACTTATCAATTCAATAGTGAGTTGTATATTTAAGGTACAATAAACCAAATATTTGTCGTAAAAAAAAAATGCCATTTTAAAACTCTTCAACAGAAATATGATGAAAGAGAGGGGAAAGGAAGTTGTGGGAAAATCCCAGACAAAACTCTCATTATCTCACCTTTGGCGAGTGTTATCTGTCCTGCTGCATCTGGCACAGTTAGGCAATGTGTATCCAGACCTAAGAAAGTGTTTTCAGGTCCACCACCAGGACAGATCTGACTTTCCGCTTTTTCTCCACAGTCTACTTCTGGCTGCTCATCAGATTGAATCTGTACACAGAAAGTTAAAGGCTGATCACTCTCTTCCATGGCAGAGTTGTTAACGAAGTCAAGCAGAGACTGCCTCTCAGAAAAAACCACTTTGGATGTTAAGGAAGATGATGATTCTTGGGAATTGAAAGTGCTTTCAGGAGAGGAAAGAGAACAAGATGCTTCACTTGACAGAGTTGATGTCAAAGAGGATTTCTGTTGATCCTGCTTTCCAAAAACAAACAAGAAAAAAAAAATGAAAAAATTTTTTTCCAAATTATTATTTTTTCCAGGCTCTAGACCTCATAGATATACAACTGAAATGACAACTAACCAAAAACTAACATAATATGGTTGATTATCCATCCAAACAAACTTGAAACAAGGCAATCAATCTCTCACAACTTCAGAACCTAAGTCACAAGGAAACTAGAAATAAAAAATAAAAAGTTTTGAAGGCCTAGAAACAACAGAGCAAGAAAATAATACCATGTTGAAAGCATCCTTTTTTGTCTCATAGTCATTTTCATTGTTTTTCCATTCACTTTATTTCTCTCATCAAAAGAAACCCAAATGAGACATTGAACCATAGAACATAAATCTGCTTTGAAGTATTCAATAAATCCACTAATGCCATAACCACATATAGACAACACAAGAAATGTTAAAACAGAATTGAAATGACCTCAGTAACCAAAACCATTTTATCCTATCCATTCTAGGAACTAAATATTTGCCAGAAGACTGAATAAGTACTGGTGGAAAGAAAAAACAGGCAGTCATGGAGCAGATGGCATAGAAATTGGAATGTTGCAAGATTTGTGCTGCTCATTCACTTGCCAAGATTTATATTTGAGGAAATTAATCTGAAAATTGATCCATATTTCACTAGAGATGCATCAAAATTAAGCACATCTTAGGGTTCTTCATACTGTACTCATCACTCTGCCTCACAAATAATGAGGGCTCAGAGACAGCTAACCTGTGGGAGCAGCAAGTGAGAGAGGGTATAATAGATGCATGATTCCATATAAGGAAAAGTTAGAGAAGAAAAAGTTTTGAGAAATATGTAGTTTCCCAAACAAGCAAATATATCTTTGCTCACAAAGCTCACAGGCTAACAACTCTCTCTACAGCATGCATTTGCATTGACTGATTTGTACTATTATCTGTTAATGAAAATCAACAAGAACTAACACTGCTCTGCTTTCTAACTACAAAAAGCCACTAGCATATAAGCCAAGATAGTCAATTGCATAAGTAACACATGGGCAAGCACATAAATATATGCACAAATTAATTAGAAGATGATCTATTAACAAATAAAATAATTGAAGGCATAAGGAAATAAAGATTCAGATTGCAACCCTTAGTGGAAAGCATGAGGAGGTATAAGACAAAAGCCAAATATTTTTTGTCTGCTACTTCAGAAATTTCCTGAAGTAAATTTCCTGCAGATGATCCACTACTGGCCAGACTCAGAATCAGAATACAAAACTTGATGGAGAGTTTTATGTTTGCCACACATATGCAGAATAAATCTCCTTAAGTATTAAAATAGATGATAACTAAACTTGAAAGTACTGATAATTAGCAAAATGGTGTTGCTAGGGAAACCCAAACAAGCTGCAAACACAATAAAGGAGCAAGGCTGGAATATCTATCAATAATTCACTGGTAAATTAGAAATAAAATGTATTCATATAAAATAAACCAAGGGATTTTTTTTGGATTATGCTATAAAAGCTTCTGTAATTCATTTGTTGCTGTAAGGTATACTAATTCCTTTCTATATTAAGAAATGCAAGTGCATTTACCTGAGTTTCTAGTCTAGTAGTCTCAAGTAGCTATTAATCACTTCATAAGACGAGATGACTGTGGCTCACCATTTGTTTGTAGAACTTTCTTTATTTCTCTAAATATTCAAAGTTATTCTTCCAGACTGTTGTAAACTCTGCAGGACTACATCTTATTTATATCCCTATTGCAATAAATGTGACACTGTGTTTTAGTTGCATGTTTGATTTTAAAAAGGAATTCTTCACATACTCTAAAGCAGTGGGCAAGAAGGCAGTGGGCAAGAAGGCATTTTTTTGATCTACACATGATGTAGTTCAAGATGCCCATGTGAGCACAAGTGACCTGTTCATCTATCCAGGAGTTCATATTGAAAAAACAAATTGTTGAATCATAGAATTGTTCAGTTGGAAACGACCTTATAGATCATCAAATCCAGCCACAACCTAACCATACTACCCTAACAACCCACTGCTTAATCATGTCTCTGAGCACCACATAGCGTTCATACAGTCAAATAGACCAAAAATTAAAAGCCGTTGTTCATACGGTGTTGATAGTCTGTCTAATTTCACTTATTTAAAGTCTTAAGAGCAAGATGCTAGATCTCACCTGTAATTTTACTGGCATTCTTACATTAGAAGAAAAAGAAAGTGATGCTGAAATGAAAACTGCCTCAATGAATGGAATTTCTTGTTTCTATTACATATTTTTGTTTTCATTTTCATTTTTTGTTAAATAAAAAAAAAAAAACTGTGAAAGAATTAAAGAGACTACCACAACATATTTCCCTTTTTCAACACATTGTGTATACATGTTTTTCTTGGCATGACAAATGTTTACGTGAGTGACAGAGTCATTCCTTTGGAAGTTTTGTAATCATGTAATGTAATGTATATACATGTATATACATGTAATACATGTAATAATAAAAACTCTACATGGAGACACTTTCAAAAGCAGATGTCTAAGCTGGCAGATCATAAGGATTCCACTGCAGATCTGTGTGTCTCTAGGCATTTATTTAGAGAAAAAAATTATCACCATGAAACACCTCAGCAGCTATTTTGGAATTGCTGCAATCTATTTACTCAATTGAGCTGCCGATTTTTGAGCCATTCTCATGCAGAGAAATTAACACAGATGATCAGTTAAGCTTTTGTCCTACAGATGTTTAAGTGTATTTGTTCTTCCCTTGCTTTTTTCTTTCCCAATACCTACAAAAACACATAAAACTAGAAAGCTTATAATCACTACTTTTGCTTTTAAAGTTTCAAAACAGTTTTATCTCAGAGAATTAACAGCAGCTGAAGTTTTTTTTCAGGAAGTGCAAAGTGTTTACTGCTCTAAAACGTAACGTAACAGAATCTGCACCTGGATCGCTGTTCCAGACTAACAGTTTCCAAGCTGGATTGGATCTCAAGAAGTTTGGATGCCCTTCTACTTCAGACATCATAGATTTGATTTTCCAAAATGTCCATAGCTCCTAGTTCCTATTTTGCAAAATGCTTTTGGCATTTGGAAGACAGAATTATCACTAAAAAAAAAAAAAAAAGATATTTCCAGTTTGAGTTTCCAGCATAAATGAGTCTGCCAGTCGCAAATTGCTGCCAGAGCATAGAGCAGAGCAGTGGCAGCTGGAGCTCTTTCCGGTTTCCATTCCTTGGGGTGAAAATTTGACTGATTGGAGATATCAACATTCATCCATAGGGGTAAGGAAAAGGGAAATCAGCAGCTAGACGTAGTTACTGTACTATGACCTTCTAGACCTTGACTAGAAGATGACCTTCAAGAGGAAGGGTGGAGGAAACAACACCCCTCAAGCACCTGCACTGTTGCCTGCCTCCCACATGTTCCCTGCTAAAACGTTGAAGGCAGCTCTTAAGAGAAGCATACAGAAGGAAGGCAACCAGAGATCACCTCTGCAGCTACAGGCTGAGAAGTAGCAGGAAGCCAGAAAAACAGCAAACTGAAAAATAGCACCTGCTTAAAACTCATCATCTGGAAAGATGCCTGTGTTCACTCCGAGGTGAGCAGATGGGAAAGTCATTTACTGTCTCCTGAAGCCGATCCATTGAGGTATAAATTTCAAGATGCTTCATTATCGGCCTTCAGCCCAGAATAACTCTTGGAGATATATTGTCAAGTTTCCTGTATTCTCCAATATTTATAGTCACTTGGCCACATTTAACTTTCAGTTAATACGGGCAATAAAGAATCCTATTATATAGAGCATTCTCTGAGTGCCAGGTGAACTGTTTTACAGTGATTCATGAAGCACAACTGTTTAAGGAAAGGAAGTGAAGACTGACTTATCTGACAGAAACAGACGGGGCAAATAGATGACAATAGGACACAGACACCAAGTTTAATGTTAGCTATCTAAAAATTGTCAGATAGTCAGATTTGTGCATTTATTATTGACTGTGTTCATGCAAGCTTCTCCAGCTCATCTATGTTTTTCAGATTTGCTCTTTCTTCACTGCCTACATGACCACCAAACCAATGGATGTCATTTTAAAGTACCATTGCAAGAACCTCTACTACACCAACAGGGTAGCTACTACATTTTTTATTCATCCATGAGATGCAATAATCACAGAATCACAGATTCTGATCAAGAAGATTATTTGGTAACAAGTATATTACTGAACATACCTAGATTTAACTTTCAGCTGGGAGAGTGAAAGGCTTGAAGTCAGGATTCTTCATTTCAGCTGTATTACCCTCCCAAACTGAATTACTCATGTCCTAATACAGAATTAGTTAAACCTTGTACCTTGAACAAGTACCTTCATATGAGAAGAAATGAGATCACTGTGAAGAACATCAATAGTAAGGCTAGACTAACAGATCAAGAACTGGCTCATAAATAGGAGAAGCACTTGATTACACACACGAGGGTTCATGCTACTTATTCTAATTTATGTAAAAAAGCGAGGTGGTAGTGAATATTCTGGACACGCTCCACAACGAGGTAGAAGGACAACATAGATTTGGGGAGTATAATTATTTTCTTTTTTCTAATGTCTTTTTCAGAGGTATAAAAGGAAAGAACTGACATAATCCCTGTTAGAAAACACTTCTTGCCTTTTACCTCTCCTCTTTGCCACAAAAGCATTTTCAAATTCAGTCTTCTAAAGAACAGCTCAGTCGAATACATAAATCTGTTGTATAATGCTACCAGCATCACCAAACAAAAGATTTCGGATTGAATGAAGAAATATAAATATTGTGAAGACTAGGTTACGGTTGCATGTTAAAAACCTCATAAAGAAAAGACACAACACACTTATGAAGCACAGTAACACCTTTCATTCTCAAACAGAGCGAATATGCTTTCCCTTGAAGGAGGTATTCTTGCCAGTGTGAGGCTCTCAGCAGCATGGGCTACAGAGCTTGCATGAAAAATCACTGGGCAGAGGTGAGAGGAAACAGTGCATCCATATCTCACAGGCACACAGCGAGAAAGTCTCCAGTCTGACTGGTAGCTCATCATCTGGAGAATGATTTGTTTCAACCATTGAGCAAGTAAAACCTAATTATGGTAATACTTACTAACTGAGGAGGTGGTGGCTGGGCCACATATGAGGGAGGCAGTGTGTCTGTTATTTCTGGGTCATCATGTTCACTTTCACTATAGCATTCTGAGGCAGACATGGAAAATAAGCAAATACAAAGTGTTAAACCAAAACTCATTTATTCCTCACAGTGATATGCTCATCAAAGTTCCCCAAGCAGAATATTGTGGACTATAAGATGTTAGTGCCTCCTATGCTGAAAATTAACCCACTCTTGATAATGCTCTGCTGCTTCATAGCAACATTTTCTTCTATTATTTTTTAAATAAACTTGCTATAGATGACAACACTAGGTGTCGCTGCTCCAGATAGCTTTACTACTAAGAAGTTCTTTTTTCGTCCCTTCACAGCCTTTAAATGAAATGCTACACAGTCTGTGACAGAACTCGCAGAGACCTGTTGCATGTAGCAGATGCTGTCTCTTATTCTCTGTAACCAGTAAATTCTCCTGGAGCTGGCAACCAGCACTGGAGTTTTGGCTACAATTCTGGAAAAAATAGATTGCTCACATGATGCTTTGGAAACCATAAGACACCTTCAGGAGACCTTTGTCACCAGAGGGTAATTTGACATACCACGTGGCACAGTGGTACAGTTTCAGAGCTAGCAATAGAAGTAGACACAGTACTCTCAGACCATGCATACCATTAAAAAAAAAAAAAAAAAAAAAAAAAAAAGAAAGAAAACCACCAAGCTGACAGACCCAAAATCTCTTGAGAGGTGGCAAAGGGGCAGTCATATTTTTCAATTACATGTGTAGCAGAGGGAGGTGTCTTCCAGCACTTATCAGCTACTTTTTAACAGTGGATTACATGAAGTGCTAATTTGATAAAATGAGACACACACAAGGAGAGATCACAAGTTAGGCATTCTATTCCCAGGGCCTGGCTGTAACCACTGAAAAAGATTACTTCCCTCTGTGAAATCTCCCAGCACACACTAGCCATTCAGACCTATAATATTATCCAATCAGATGTAATTACTGTATCTTCTAATTTAATTATTGGTGGCATGCATGTAATTTCAGGGTTATAATAACCATAATGTGAGGGGAAAAATTTGTGAGAGAAAAAGATTTTATACACTGGAGAGAAGTTTCTAAGATGTTAACAAAATGAAACTTTCTCTCAGTACTGCTTGGAGAATCATAGGATTTTTAACAGCAAGGCTGTAGTTTTGTTTAGTGAAAGTATGTGCTGGAACATCTTCGCATCAAGGATTGAGAATGGCTACAGTCAGCCCATATCAAATTCTAAGGCTCTGTGAATGATGTGTTCTTGAGGAGCCCTTGGTAACAGCTGTTTCTGATACACTAAAAAGCATCTCAAAGAGTTACAGTGTGTGACACAGAGAGGAAAATCAAGTTGCTGGGAGCAAAAAAGTGGCTTTGTGTAACAGCAGTATCTCTGCAAGGGTGCATCCACACAAATATGTCTGTGGGTTTCTTTTCTGAAACTCTCTCGTGATAGATCCTGGAGTATCTGTGACAAAACATCTGTCATATTTTGCTTCTATTAATATTTTTTGGCTCTCCTATTTCAAGTCAGGTTTAATGACTCTCAACTCAGTCAATACAGCTCAAAAGATCAGTGGCCTCCTTTCAGCGATACTTTATCTCACCAGTGTTTCTAAAGCTCCTCTGCACTGTGTCAGTGTGTCAATGGGCTCTGTGGCCAGACAGACTCAAGGTGACAGTTAAAGAAAAGATCTGACAAAAATTTGGCCCAACAAAAACTGTAAAGGATATCATCTGCTTAGACACAAAAACTGCTTTAGAAACATACCTTCTTCGCTCTTTCCATTGGGTGCCTGAGGATCTACAGCAATCCCCAGCTTGCTTAGCCACCTGTGTTTGAATCAGGGAGGATATATTATTAGCGATATTTACATGCTATTTTGACTATTTCTCCCCTTTCAACATGTATATTCATTAATGCAAAGTCTGAATGTTTCCTTCTGTATCTCAGTGTTTCCTAAGAAAACACCTTTGACTTGATAACTAACATTCCCATTCCTTTTAACAGCTGTGTAGGATTAAATTGCCAACAGAAGGAGAAATGCACTGAGCATCTCATAGGCCAACCTTGTAATATGTAATAGACTACCAAGAGGTTTCTTTCTCTATATATGGATTTTTGTCATTCAGATACTATAGCAAGCTGTGTAGTTCTGTTTTACAGCCCTCATGCTCTTCTCAGACTGGACCTGATGAGCAGGACTAGTTGTCTGGGACATTTTTTCCTCCTCATGTTGAGGAAAAACACTACCGATGACCAAAGAACTGCATTTCTGGAAGCTAAAGGAAAATGATTAGTGTTATAACAGAATATCAGTGACATTATCTTTCATCCAAGGTGATGAAAAAGGTAAAGGAGCCATAGAAGATGATGTCAGCTGCCCTTGATAATACCCCTTGTGTACTGTGTTTGCTTTTAAGTCATTTGAAACTATCCATGTTTTAAGAAGCTAATTATTAAAATACCTGAAGTCTTTCAGATTAAACTCAAGGCCTAAAGAGAGAATGCAAGAAGGGCAGCAATTAAAATTCATAACTTGGAGAAAATATGGTGCTAGATCTTGATTGTACTGAAGTACTTGAATATTGAAAAATTGTCTAGTTAGAACAATGGTAATGTAACTGGGTTTTTAGACTATCATATATACAATTGAGCAGCTTAAAAATTTCAGAAAAAAAAAGTGCAATCCCTGTAAAAATTAATTACTTTCTTTTAACAGAAAAATTTTAACAGAATGTTTTTGTTTTTAATCTAAACAAAACAAAAATGCTGCTAATACAAGATTTCAATAAGAGCAAGGTAAGACAGACCACTAGTAATTGTGTGCATTTAAGAAAACAAATTTGCTTTTCATATTTGCTTTCCTATGACAAATAAATGTTGAATTAATGAAATAAACTACTAAATTAATAAACTCACTGTGTCTTAATCAATATATATGCATGAGAGTTGCAAAAGGTCGTGATCTACCAAGTATTTAAGTACACAAGTAACTCAACATACAGGAATGCCCCAGCATCTTCAGTGGAACCACTCACATACATATATATGCGTGGGAATGGAGCCAAGCAAACAGATGTCTTTTAGTCTGTTTTGACATATGCGTGAGCATGCATGTACTTTATGTATTAAATCCATGTATTCTGTACTTTGCCAAGGAAAACATCATCAGTTACAACAGTAAGGAATTAGGAGTAGTACAGTACAGTACAAGCTGCTCCAGTGCTAGGCTACTTAGCTTTCAGCCAGTATGAAATTTACTCTAGAAGTGGAGTTTGAAGAAAATCATTCTGGGGCATAAGAGAGGAGACACCTGTGTAGATTTCAATCGCTCACTTACATGAGACTAAACATTTCCAAAATGTCATTGAGACACTGACAATTTCCAGCTGGGCTCCAAACTAGTTGTTAATGTTCACATGTCCTCCATTAGCTCTCTTTTTTTTTTTCCTCCCTACATCCATCCTTCTCTCAGTCAGTCAGTTTCTTTACAGAAGTATTTCTGGCCATTTTCAGTCTTCCTCAGGCCTTCTTCCCTTCAACTGTATTGAAGAACTCTGGTAAGGAATGCAGCCATACAGAAATAGACAGTCATTTCCCCAGCTGCAAACTCTAGGCTTCTCCAAGTTGCGAAGGGCAACAGGTTCTCACATCTATATTTACATGTATCTATACAGTCCAGATTTATAAATAGATGTGTACAGTTCTTTTCTGTCTCTGAAGTTACTTCAGAAGGTCTCACATATTCTCTCAACATTTTTCCTTTCCATTGTGCTGAAGAGCTATGGGGTCTCTAGGATGAAAAAGTCAACTCTTTATGAGGAATCTCACAAAGGTCACCAGTACAGCCAAGATTAAAATTTGGCCCTATCTATCTGTCTTCCTATTTCAACTAAACTGATTTGGACCTGTTTTTTGGCCATTTAATGAAAAAGCATTGTGAACAGAATATGTTCTGAAGTAATAAATACAAAGAAGATATGAATGTATATAAATCAGTCCAATCAGGATCAATTGCAAGTAATATCTGATTCTAATAACTCAGTAGTTCCTAAAAAGGCACTATTAGGTACCCATTTTTACTGCTCTCATTAAAAAAAACAGCATGAGTGAATTGTTGTTCCTATAGACATTTGTGGAAAGAAAATGTCTACTCTGGCATAAAGATTGCTTAACTGCAGCATAGTTTGGCAGTGAAATAAATGTTTAGTTAAAATAAAAAACAGTTGTTTATATCTTTCTAACTATCCTTGTTAGCTGGCATGCTATTTTGAAAGCAAACAATATTACATTCAAGCACTAGATCATTTCTGGAGCAAAGCTAAGTACATTTTTTCCTCTCTTTCCTTGCTTCTTCCAAGAAGATTAACTTGCTAGAAATCTTTGTACCTCTTTAGTGGAAAGGAATTCCTTCAAATATTTGCAGTCCAGTAACAAAATTATACCAACTACCAGATACTGATTTCAACTCTATTAGTGAGCAAATTAGTAGTATATTCCTTCTATTTAGTGATGTGGAAAAAAATATATATACTTAGTAATACCCTGAAGAACTTCATCAACAACTGCTCAACAGTGAGAGAATGAACTTTCAAAGTGTTTTCAGATACAAGACAGGATGAAACAGGGCCAGTCACTCTCTACTCACGTGTTCATTTCCAGAACATTTTCTGCTGCAAAATAAAATGTCTTGATCTGTGGGTGGCTGATCTTAATAGCACTTGAAGGAAAAAAAAAAATAAATAAAAGAGAGATGAGGAAAACTTCTTTACATAAGAAAAAGTAGCTGAATGATTTTAATATTTTAAATATTTATTCATTCCACTATATTAATCCAGATCAGCTTATCCATCCATACAGTTATTTCCTTAAAATTCAGGATTATTTTTAGCTCATTTCCTGGTCCATGTAGTATTCAGTATGAAATCTATGAATAAAAAATGAAGAAATAAGGAATAAAACAAAGGCTTTCATTATGCCACCTCATAGTTCCATAATGTGCCAATATCTTGAATATATGTATTCCAACTCGAAAATAAAACAAACTTGAAAAAGGTTCAGAAAAAGCGCCAAGGATGACCCAAGATACAGAATATATTCTGTGTATGACTAATCAAGCTAAGAACCACAACACAAAGAACTAATGGTAAAAAGAAGAGAGGTACGACACAGTAATGTCACTCATGGCATACGCAGTTAAACAGGAACTGATGCTTTGCTGTTTTTTTTTTCCATTATAAGTTGTAGGACTCACCAAAGAGGCAATTAGGTGGAAGATTAGAAAAAATTAAAATGGAGGTAGTGACTTGGATCTTTCTCCTATGAATGCTGTTACATCAACCTTAATGAATTCCACCTGGTGAAATTACCGAAGGTTAATGAATACACTAACCCTCTTCTGACTCAGGAAGATTCCAATTGGTAAATTGTTTGGAGGATGGAGGAGCATTTTAAGTAAATAGCACTGTAAGTTTTCTCTTTTCATTTAATCTTTGCTAGGCACCTGCCTTAGGCCAATTCAGAAGGCAAGATATCAAGTTGGACTGCTTTGGTCTGATCCAGTGTGCTCATTCTTAAAGCTGCCTTGAGAGGAAAACACCAATTCAGAAAAAAAACATTTTTACCTCAAATGTTGACCAACATGCACCTCTTATATACTGTTCTAACATACTGTATTTTGATGCTCCTTCAAGAAAAGGAGAAAGAAAAAGGAAATTTACTCCTGATATCAACTGCTCTGTAGGTCACCAGCTACAGAACATACTTAGAAGAATACTTGGCAGTCATAATAGACATGTTAGGGGAAATAAATTAAATAAATAAACTTTAAAAAGCAGGATTGATTTCCTTTAGGAATCAAAATTCCTAAATCCCAGGAACCCAACCCTTAGTCCCTGTATCTTTTTGCCACAACACCCAAGCTCCTGGAGTACAAGAGTGTCTCTCTTGAGTGAAAGACAACAGGATCCAGGGTGACATATATTGCAGCACACAAAATTAGTGATCTCTGACTCCCTTTTGCATCCACATTTAAAAAAAAAAAAAGAAAAGAAAAAAAAAAGTAATCAACAATGTAACAGAGAATGATGAAGGATGGTGGAAAAGGAGCTAGCCAACTGAAACATTTTAGCAGTGTAAAATGAAAGAAAAGTCTTCAACTTTTTTTTTTCCCACTGGTGCATTTCCAGCAGGGCATGATCTGTTCTGACCATATACAATGTCCCTTAAACCAACACCATTTGCGAATTACATGTGCCACACCCATTTGTAACACTCATTTGTTTCAGCATCAGACCATGCTTTAGTTGAATATCCATCAGTACGACCTTAGAGAGTAATTTTCCTTGTAAAACACTGTCTCTGGCTCTGAGACTGCATAGTTTTCTTATGTTCCCTGTGACATGACACTTTCCTGTGGAAGTACAGACTGTTTGGCAGGGCCCCAGCTGATCAAGCAACCCAGTCCTCACCGTCCTCCCCTAACTTACTCCATACCCAGAAAGAAACAAACGTATTTTCATCTCAGTCACAGAGAGCCATCGCTACAGAACTGAAAGAAAACAATTTCTTTTGGTCCTGTGTTTCATGATTCAACCATCTTCCTTCTGACAAAATAAAATAGAGCTCCTAGTATTCAAAATTGATGACTCCTTTAATCTCAGGAACACATACAGCTCAGCAGAGCATGTGACCAAAACAAAAAAGGCTTTGGACAGCAGCAACACTCCTCTAAACTTGTGAAGTGTACTCATAAACAGCTGGAAGTCAATGTTGCACATGGGGTTTGGAGGCAGTATTTTTAGTTGTGTTCACTGCTAAACAAAGTTTTAATTCTCTGCACAAACTGAGACTTTAAGTACATCCAAAAGTTGTACCACAGCAGCCTCACAAATAGTCTCCACTGAAATATAAGCATCATTATTTGAATCACTGTTGAACTCTCCACTCAACAGAAGGCATCTAAGACAGATCGTCATTTATTCATGAGCAGTGAACAAAGAAGAAGAAAACAATACTAATAGTAATAATAAATTGGCATACTGTTTTACTTCTTAATTGCAGTTTTAGTAGAGCACATCTGCCAGAGAATTTTCAAAAATGTATTTGGTATATATGTTGGGTTTTTTTCAGAAACACATTCAACATCTCATTATTTATACAACACAGAAGAGCTCCCCACGGTTTCAGTGTCAGGACAAAATACTGAAATACAGTACTTTGCATCAACGTAAAAAACCATGCAAAACTAGTGCTAAGTGGTAAACTTACTGCTTTTTTTTGCACTCCGTTGCTCTGTCCACACTGAAGTCTGGAAGTCTGATAAATCCTTCTGCTTTTTCAGCCTGCAGTAAATAAACAAATAAAGACAGATCAACCAATTGGCAAACTAACAGGCTTCAATGTTTAACGTTATTTAACATGCAAGTGCTTGTTTTCAGCTTTTTTATACTATAAAAATACATTCTCATCACCATGGGGATACATTAACGCCCTATGTTTTAGCTATTTTTGAGGAAAAGAGCTGTTCCTACACCAGCTACCAGTTGTTCAAGTCCAAGTCCAAGTCCAGGTCCTGTGTACTGGAAAACCACCACTCTTGTCTGTGTAAGAGTGTGAGAATAGGATTTGTTATACACCACACCAAATAATCTGAAGAAGGAAGAATCTTCAACTCATATAACAATTCTAGGGTAGATTGGCCCACTTTGTGACTACAGGGTATTTTTTGTTTGTTTGTTATAGAGCACCCTTACCTAAGATGTATGATTATGCTGTAAGTCTAACCCAGAGTCTGAAACTGCGATGGGCAAAATCTAGGTTCTGATCAAACCAGGACCAAAAGCAACAGTTAGAGGAACCCAAACCCTATGCAGCAATTCATAATCACATGATATGGTTCAACAAAGAGACCAGCCAAGTGTTGTGAACATATGGAAAATGAATCAGTAACACCTCTGTTACTACCTATCAGCCAGACCCTGTCAGAGCAGTATCAGCAATCCCAAAGCTATTTGTAGGCCTCAAATCCATGTTCTTGCTGCCTACGGCTGAAACATCCTCTTTTACTACATCTATCTACATTCACCTAATCAGCCACAAGAGACAGACTGCTCCTAAGAGTGGCAATTACATAGACAAAATTCTGCAGCATATAGTGATATTAAACAAACAAATAAACAAAAAAACAACAACAAAAAAGTACATTTTAAAATACAGAAAACATTAACTCCTAAATCAATTCATTACTGCTCCCAGCCCTTATCCTTGGCCACATTACAATTCTGAAAATGTACACTGAGTTAACAGAGGTAAAATATACACAACAATTACAAAGACGGAGAACAAATGGAGATGACTGACAGCAACTGAAGTCAGACTATGCATGAATATGAAAAGACTATAAAAAGATGTCCAAGACAAGCCTTTGATTTTTAACTCTTGAAAGAATAAATCTCTAAAAAGATTTACCATAAGGTAAATCAAAATATAAGAATCATTCATCTAGTTCACATGCATTAAACATTCATAACAGATTTATATTTTACATCTTCACCAGTAATAGCATAGCCTGCACCAGGCTAAACAGACATTCATGAGGAGAATAAGTTCACACACTATATAAGTATTTATACAAGGATTAGAGTGTTCAGGTTATGTACTGGGCCATTAAATCAGCTGCATTGAATAACTCAGTGTGGGGAGACATCTGGGGTGCTCCCATTCATGCAGAGATGGGACTTTAACTTCAATCACTGGCACATTAAATGAGCATCTAATTTAGAAGAATACTCTCTTAAATTTTTCATGGGAATAGACATGTAAGCCTTGATTTCATTTACTAGTATTACTACAGAGAACTCTCCCTTCTTATGTAGCATCTAGCATGTTCAGTGGCAAAAAAAAATTAGATGATGTTCAATGCATCACATTTCAGCTCTGTGTTAATGCTACCCATGATTTCACATTTATTTATAAGAAAATTTTTATGTTTCATTTTATATATGAGAGAAAGAAATATAACAGCATGAATTGTAGGAACTACTTTTTTTTCCACTACTGGTTGCACCTCAGGTGTGCCTAGGTGTTTGACGTAGCTCCATTATTGTCAGACAAAAGGAAGGAGAGGAAAAAAAAATGGATATAAGTGTTATGGGTTTTTTCCTTGTGTGTCATTACAGTCAGAAAGTAAAATTTCTAATAAACATAAGGAAATCTTCTTGGGATAACCATAATATTTTAAAGCACTGAAAGTGCAGAGAATATTTACTTTTATCCAATATGTTATCTTTAACATGATTTTAAGTATGCTGTATTTAACTCACATTTCAGTCAAGCTTCCTTAGGATTTTATTTACAGGATGTAAAAAAAAAACCTAAAAGTTCAGATTAAAATAAAATTGACCTGCTTGCTATTCTGTCAGGATTTTAAAAAGAATAAGCTGTTACATGTTGTGTTGTTGTTGTTTGCTTTTACATATTTGCTTCACATACAAAGCTAGACTTTTTGCTGTTCTCCACAGTAGAAAGCAAAATGTCTGCAAAAAAAACTGCCTTTGTAAATTCTCGGGACAGAAAGAGGAAAAAACTCACACTTTTTCAGTATTTAAAATAAATAAATAAATTATATTAATTAAACATAATGAAGGAACCCAATGAAAGAGGTAAATAACATTTTTAGTTTGCTTCTAAATATATTGTACGCATTTTAGTTTATTTAGGAGGTTTGGTAAATCATTTATTAGATCTTATTCAATATTTGAAGTGAATATAAAGATGCAAAATATTTAAAAAAATAAATAGTGCTGAAAAGTGAAAATCCCTAATTATGGCAGAACAGCTCTGATCTGCAATTCAAGGTACTCCTGATGTTTTCAGCCAGAGTTTTAGCACTGACCACAGAAGACCTCGTGGTTGTTGGAGGAATAGTTCAGTCCTCAACATATTTAGACGTATTTAGTCTTTTTTTTCTCTGCCACTTGAGACAACCTACAGAGCTGTGAATAATTTGTGTAATATATTGATCAGAGGTCCACTAAGCTCTCAGCACTATCTGCTGACATCAATGGCTTTGTATCATGCATGCAAGCATTTTCTGTGACTCAAAGGTGAAAGGTTCCTACTTTTAAATATCGCAATTATGCAGTTCCTGGCAAAGCTCTGTGAGCGGGGACCAATTTAATCTCAGTGAATGCAGAGAGAAAAACAAAGAGGAGTAGTGACAGCAGATCACAGCCTGCAACCCTTTGATTTCATATTTATATTTCTTTTCAGTTGTATCCCCATGACAACCATCATTAACACATCTTGCAAAACTGTGTTCAACCTCAATTTGAAAACCAGTCAAGTTGTCCAAAAGGCACATGGAGCAGAGGAGTTTGGTCCTCTGTCCCTTTCCAGCCAGCATTATTCAGGTATCTGCAACAAGCACAAGATCAGCCAGGAACACAGGATCATATTGGCTAAACTTCACCCTTTGTCCTTTTCCATATGCAGAAGTACCGATTCCTTCAAGGTTTTCAATGTGAGTCAACAGGAAAGAACTAAAACCACTGGGTGGACAGGATCACACATCATTCTTTTTAAACCCATTTCCAAGACACGTGCCTATGGAGAGCAGTAGTGAAAAAAGGGAAGCAAACACTAAGAAAGCAGCTCTCCAGGGAGTCCGGTTTTCCTGAACGCATCCACAAAATCTGACTGCTCAAATTCATTTTCTGATATTCTGTATCTCCCTTGCAAATTGAGTCCTTCCTTGTTTTCTCCTACACCATACAACTTTCCTTGCCTAGACTGTGGGAATATCCACACTGCAAATAAATTACAGTATGGGCTTATCTATCTCATATGATATCTGTGCATCATAAAAAGATCAAGTTTGTGTGGGAACATGTTTTAGAGAAGTCTACCCAGCGCTGCTGAGCCTACAGATGCCCTAACTTCAAGAATCTCAACACTTTAGATGGAGACTGAAAAGGTTGTTTGGATTTATCTATGTGCTCTACTTTCCTTTCAGTAGATTAGAAGGATGACCCCAGTGTCTGATTTCTGGCCCTTCTCAGCATTTTATTATTTGGGCTCTGGTCTTTTTTTTTTTTTTTTTTTGTTACGCTATTCTGAAAGAGCTACTGTCAGCAAATGTCACCCAAATGTCCTATATTGACTCTACCACTCTGCCTAATATAGAAGATCCAGAATCAGTGTGAATCTAAGGCAGACTAAACCCAGGCAACAGAAACTTCAAGAGTTTCAGAGATTGCCTCAAGACAGACTTCACCAAGAACATGATGTCAGCTGAGGTTATCCACCCAAATCTGCAATAGCACGCATTCAGTTAAAAATTCCACCCACTCTTTATTTTCTCCAACTCCATCAGAAAAAAAAAGGTTAGGTCCAGCACCCTGTTGCTATGCTACAGTTGCTAGTGTCTGGTTGACTGCAGTTTCTGCACAGGCACTAACAAAATATTCCTGTTTCTCACAGGAACGAAACTGGTCAGGCAGAGCTACAAGCAGTCAGCGTAACCCAGTTCACTTGACCTCAGCCCTGTCCTCCATCACTGCCTTTCACTCCAGACTGAGAGGCCCACCATGGGAAGTCTGAAGTGTGTGAGAAGCAGGGATCCTCCTTCAGCACACCCAGGTGTGCTCTGTTGGTTGCCCTGCTGTGACCGAGGATTAGCTCTACTGAAGATGAAGGTACGAAATGCAGGCCAGGTACAGAAGTAAAAAGAAACAACAAAAGCAAGCCAGTGAGAATGTAACATTATTTTTCCTTCATAATTCTGGAGGGAAAAATATTTCTGAAAATACAGTATGTCAAATTCGCCTGTCAAATTCATTTCTGTGTTTCTGTGATCTCAGATATAATTCCTGCAGTGGTACTAAGCATGGTTCTGGTCTCATCAATTTAAGCAAGTGTATTTTAGCAAAGGACACCTCCCTTACTTTCAGCACCCTACAGTTACTGTGATTCTGCAAATGTTGCCTGAATCTAAATTTGTGCAGAGGCTGTACTTTTTGTCCTTTAGATTTTTAACATAAAATAGTGTGTGAGAGTCAGCAGAAGTTGAAAACAAAGAGGTACTACCAGCAAGCACACTTCCAAGAAGTACTGTGATAGGTGTAGCTGTGTGAGCTTTTCAGAGTGAATGTAACTTCCTGGAACGAGGCTGTCACCTGCTCTTCAACCTTGTTTTTTTGGGGACAGTCAGTGACAGCAGTGAAGGAGGTGTGGACTAAAAAACGAGTTCACTTAAGTATCAAATGCAGTCTTGGAGCACTGGGGTCAATCTTGGCGTCTCTGTATCCTGAGAGAAATTTACTAAAAGAAAAGGACAAAGAGAACTTTGCACTCTCCTCTTACCACCTTTCTCCTCCAAAATGGAATATATGTCATATATTGTCTCATCATTGTATTTATTCTATCTTGATTACTCCTCAGAATCATTTCTGTCCCAACACTTCTCACATCTAACAGGCATGTCAGTCAGCCAGCTCACCTTCCTGTTACAATTGCACTTGGGCTTGAAAGCAAGCTCATTCAGACTACCAAACACTACAAAAAAATAAAAACAACCCACAAACAGTAGAGTTGCTTTCACTTTACTCCAAAAAAAAAGAATACCACATATCAATTTTAAATGCTATTTATTTTTTTAAATGTCTATTAAAATTTTTATCATCATACAGTTGCAGCTAAAGGGAAAATAGGAAATACTTTTCATCAGAGAAAGGATTTTTTTTCTATTTAATTTGTACATTGAATGAGATATGTTGCTAGATGTGGATTATTGCTATAGGAATAAACTCGCTATAGGAATAAACCCATACAGCATTTAACTTTTTAAAATGCTCTAGGATTAATGCAGGTGTCTTTAATCTTTCATCTTTTGTAAAATGAGGGACATCCTCATTTTCAGCGTAGCATTTTTACATTTAAGAAATCTGAAGACCTTTCATAATCCTGCACTAAATCTTCTCATTTTCAACCAGTGATGTTAGCATCCCCCTAACATTCCGCACACTTCAATTCTGGGCTCTGCCAGTCCATCCTTAGAATATGATGGGAGATTTTTCAGAAGTAACAGTGCAAGAAAGTGAAATGAACAACAATATCTGAATCTTCCTAGGGCACACAAAACATCAAATGTGTTCACGCAAGCGGAGCTATAGCAAACAGCCTGGAATAAAATCAGCTAATCCCTAGGACCCCCTGAGTCTTACACTCAGCTATAAGTTTCCATTGAAAACCCATCTGAAACCCACATGAAACACATCTGCAGAGTGCCCTGGGTGCTGCAGCCAGGCACAGAACACAGCCATCTATAGAGGGGACTCCAGAGTTTCTCTGAGTTTCTCACTGTGACTCTAGTTTCTTTAATTGATCACATAAATTCAGGGCCTATTGTTCTTTGTCTCAGACTATTCTCCACTCACACTGTAAGTGGAGTAGGCTGTTCAGGCTGTATTAACAAAAAGAGAAATGCTATCTATGCAAGCTGTCCTGAGAAAAGCTCATCCCTTGAACCAAAAGATGGACCTTTTGTTCAAAATACTCTTTCATTTTTACTTTTAGCATTGACTCGTTAGAGCAGGACATTAAAAAGCAGCAGAACATGTGAGCCTTTAATTACAGAGTTCCGGATGAGACATCAGTCAAATGAGATGTAAAGTCACTACAAAGAGCCATTGCAAATACCTGCAACCCTACCAGCTCAAACAGAGAAAAGCAATAAACAAACAAAAAAAAAGCAAGCAAAAAATAAAACAACAAATAGACAAATGAATCTCGCATGGAAGCAAATGCAGAAAGAAGCAGGAGATAGACCTCTCAAAATCAAGCTAGCTAGAAGTTAGGAAACATTCCTGCTCTGAGTCTTGGTAGCAACTATCTACAAACTGCACGACCCAAGAAAACCTTTCCAGATTCAAATGCAAGCAGTTCCTGCAAAGATCAGTTCTTCAAAGAGCAGAGCAAGCTGCAAATTAACAGCTCTCAAGTACTCACTGTACTAGAAAATGCAGTTTTCTGAATGTTTCATATTTATATAGACACTTCCTAGATGTCAGGCCTGAGAAACAAAGAATCTAAACTGTGACTCCAGCACCCCTAGTCTTGGTCCCTGCAGATGCCTTGTGTCCATCCCCACAGCTGGGTAGACACAGTACTCACCAGTTGACTGCTGTACCAATATAACGATGACTCCTTCAGAACACACCAGAACTTTTTCCATTTGTTACCGATGAAAGCTCCTTTTTCCTTCTTTTTGTAGAGCCATCCTTGGCAATCAGCTTGCCCCAGTTCTTTACATGATATCCTCCGTCGACTCATTATAAAGAACCCTGTGCCGGTAAAAATACAGTATTATGTTTGTTTAAAAGTAAATTACCAGGAAAAATGCTGCTGACGATTAAAGATATCAGCCTTATTTAGTGATCTCAACAAGTCATCCAAGCATATCTTAAAATATACTTATAAGTCTTTCTGTTTTGTAACAGCTGTGACAGTGATACACATGCATTTGAAAAGGCATTCTGATATGCATTAAAAAAACGGTAAGCCATATATAATGCAGATACTAATTAATGTTAAGATAACCGTACACAAGTTTTTGTAAATCATATATATACCTCTTGATCCTTTTAAAAGAAACATGCATGCATTTCTCTTCATGCAGCTGTGCTGAAAAGCAATACATCTATTTAAGTCAGGAGAGAAAACTATTATGCCAAGTACATGAAAACCGCTGGTGTGTGTGCATGCATCTGCCTGGTTCTACCTTGTCAATTTCCAGCTTTGAATGAATTAACATACCACAGGGATTTCGTCCAAAAAACCAGCATGCTGTCATTTTTTTTTTCCAGAATTAGTTCAAGAAACAGTAGTTAAAAAGCAGCCTTCTACCAGCTGAGCAGCAGTATAAAATCCTCACCCTCCCAAGATCAAGACATACTAAGAAAATAACAGAAGAGGAAGAGAATAGAAAAAAAAATCTCTAATTACCTTGACTTTTCTTTTTTGCCTTCTGACGCAAGGGAACCTGTAAGAAATGCAGGAAGGAAAGAAAAGAGGAAATATCAGATTGTGTTGCAACATTTGTCTAGAAAGGGGAGGGGGATGCTAGAGAAGGATGTGGTGGTGATGCTGGTGGTGCGTGCAGGATGGAAATACATAAGTCGCTTGCTGCTGAGGGGATGTTAGTAGCTGAAGCAGAAAATGTGTTAATTAGAATTGATGTATGTGTAGTTGAACAAGAGCAAATGTAACTCTATTATACATGTGTCTGTCTGCTAGTGCTTCCTGCTTCACACCCACAGGCAGCTTCTTTGCTATGTCTGAATTGCATTCTATGCAAAGTTAAAAAATAAAAGTTAGGACTCCAGCATTTTAATGCTTATAGGAAGGGAATTTACAAATATGCAGTGATAAAAAATACATGGACAAGTTTGATTGTCCTTTAGCACATTCTAAGCAGTCCTGAAAAAGAAAATCATTTTTCACTCCTCTTTACTTTGTCATATATATTTTTAATACAAAGACTGTATTTCTCCATAGAGTTTAATAAATTTCAAAAATAAAAGTAAATAAATCATTCTAGTTTGGCAGATTATCCAAAACACAATGCATAAATTCACCAGGGTCTTGCCATACAGTACATGAAAATATTACTCACTGCAAAAATAACATAATCGAATTACATTTACTCATTTGTAGTGTACAGAAAATGAAATTAAAACAGGAGACCAGAGACTGAGAAAGAGGTCATCAGAAATCTAGGATCTGGGTTTTAGAGCAAGTCCTCTACCAGCAGACTGGCCCGACTATAGTTAAAGCACTTCACTTCTCTTGATTTCAACCTTTCCATCTCCAGCATGGAAACAAAAAAATTCGCACCGTTTATTTTCTCAGAAAGGTTTTGAAACCTCCAGATGATGAACGCTAGATAAGGTGATGCATGGTTTAATATGCTTGGCCACAACGTTGCTATGCAAAGCTGGTAACTACCTGATCCGCTGCAGAGCTACACTAGGAACATTCCTAATGCAGTCTCCCAGAGCTAACAAGCAGCCTTAGAGCAAACAAAAGCCTTTTTCATACTATTGTTGAAGGATTTGATAGCTCTTCTCACAGGTGAATTAAAAATGAGTAAAGCTACAGCATCCGGAAACAATATCACAAGAAACCACTGGTATCAGTACTTACAAGAGCTGGAGTGTTCTCTAACCTGTTATCCTTGCAGCATATATTAGAGAGCAGAACTGCATATTGCAAAGTCCTGTGCTTATCTGGCGCTTGTTTGAGACAATCTGAGGCTTAACCAGGAATGAATAATCTCAGATTCCTGTTTAATCATCATATATTCTTCTCTCAGCTTGCCTATTTTTTTTCTTAATTCTACCATGATCTCTCAGTCTCTCCAACTTCTCCATGACAACAGATGAAGAAAAGCAGAGAAAACACATCAGTTGTATTGGAACCTCCATTATTTTCCCATCCTATGTGGGCCAACTCTCATATCTTCAATTCAAAAAAAAAATAATGCTTTATTTTAGGGCCCATGGAAATAACACATATTCTCAGTGAATCAATAGATCATGCAGTCACACTAATCACCTATTCCTTTAGTGTGACCAAAGTGGCATTAAGGAAAGCAAATAAGAATTAATTATCTTCAAGCAAAAGCTACGAAGTAGAATGATATTACATCTTTGTCAATACACTACGGAGGGGTCAGTTCATCTTCAACCAACATAAAATTGTACAATGATAAAAGAAAACCTGACACAGGATGTGGCTCTCTATAAGCAACTGAGGAAGAAGTAGGTCTTTCCACTAGCCTTATTGATGATCTAACATAACATAGCCTGGCCTATGGATCATTCATAAAGAGATGATTACCCAGTAAGAGATTGGAATAGCAAAAAAAAAAAAAAAAAAAAAAAAAAGCATTCACACAACTATTGCATTTATTATTCAATGACAATGATTGTTTCCTCCTGGCAGTTTGCAGGGGGTGATGGATTTCCATCTCTTTATATTTCACTGGAGGAACTGGGAGACTAATCAGAGGAGGAAGGGCTGTTTCTCAAGACACCGTTACATTTAGTTTGCCTGCATAAAATCAGTGACAAATTCATAATAAAATCATTGCTCAGTGAAATTTCATGAATTAAGTTCAATTTATACTTTTCTTCATAGGATTCCTGAAAGAAAACATAAATTTTTAACAAATTAATCCAAATACAAGAATTCAACAATTTTATGATATTTCTAGTTCTGCCCAGAAGGTCAAAGTCATCTTGAAAAAATATGTGTCATTCTTCACAAGATGGAATTTCTAGTTGCAGAGCACAGCAAAGGAATAGGCAATGAAATCCAGTATTGTTCATCCAAACTTCCCTCTTAAATTTCGTAGATCTTTAAAAAAAATAAACAAAACTCTTTCTCTACTGCACCAGTGCTTTTAGTTAAATAGATACTTTATGAAATTAAAAAAAAAAAAAATTAGAACAAAAATTAAAAATGAGAATGTTTTTATCTTAAACAATCAGAAAAAAATTCTATATTTGCATTAATCTACCATAAGGTTCATGTAATGCTTCTCCACTTGGATTCAGTTTTCCACAAGAACATCAACACATTTGCAGCTGAAAATCTTTCCTCAAAATGTAAATTAAATGCTCCTCCTCTGAAAATTGGCATACGAGATTTGAAAAACCTTTTCAGTGAACCATGGTGAACAGAGGTTAAGAGGCACATTTAAGTTTCAGTCCTAGCAAGGGTAGCAAGTGATAGCACCAATTCAGAACAAAGAAAAAAGTTTGAATGTGGAATACAGAGCTACCAGTAAAACCAATACTACCAATAAGTCACATAGCAGCAGTTTCAGATGCAAACACACTTTAACTTCTAGACACACATACTTACTGGAACAACTGCAACTTAACTAAATGTCATGATTTCACTACTGTTCTGACAAAAATTGATGTTTCCCTCTAAAGCTCAATTTCCTGATGGCAAAAAAAATTCACTATCACAGGTTGAGCAGGGCAAAATAGAAATAAGAAAAAAATCTATTTCTATCTGCAGAACATGTCTGAAAACAATAATCCTCATACAGGTGTGAAATAAATGCAAAATATTAGAGTTAGTGCAACTTCCGTTGTAATTTTTATGCAGGGCTGTCAGTACTGGGTATCTTTATCTATTTATTTATTTTTCTCCTTTATACATTTGGGATTGTTCATCTGTTTAGTAATATCCAAAGGCTGGAACAAAATGGGATACTGATTCTGAATGAAAATACAGGCTTTAAGCTCACTGCCCATTGCTTCTCCACTTGGCAAATACATGCATGGGCCAGCTGCAAAAAACTGGGTTTTGTTCTCAACCAGTTCTGTGCCAGGTTAGCTCCATCAGTAAGCAAAAAATGTACAAGAGAAGTTGTATCTTAAATGACAATTTTGCCCATTTAGAGATCCTATATTTGATTTGAAACATCAAAACATTTGAAGTATGTAGCACCTTTGCCATATATTCCTAGCCCAAATAGGAGGTCTTGAGCAATTACCCCTGCTAATGAAGAGCAGCATCCCTCTGGAAAACTGCCAAGAAGCAGTCAATTCTTGCCCAGGTGATGCCTCTTCTTGGAGACTGTGTGAGCTCCAGCTTGCAAATGCTCCAGAAGAAAGTAGTGGAGTGAAATTGGTGCATGAAGCTGTTTGTGGGGGAAAGAAAATTTGTTCAGTGAGCAAAAGCAGGAGCAGTGCTCTAATACCGAAGACCAGGCTTCATGTCACCTGAAGTTCTAGTCATGAATCATGAGTCTGAGAAGACAAAAAGGCTGCAATTAACAGCTGATCATCTACAGAGCTATACTTTCCTAAAACCTCAAAGGTCCTACAGATGTGTGTCTAAGAAAAATCATTTTCTAAGCTCATGTGCGCTAAGTTATTGTTTCCTCATCCTTTAAAAGGTAGGATTGGAAGATAAGGCTTCAGGCCTATGCAACAGACTCCGTTTCACCTGAAGAGTAGAACTGGAACAGCCAGTGACAATCTCAACACTTGACTTGGCCCATTAGCAAGATACCATTCAAATATTGATGTTCTATGACCTCTTCAACTGATCAAAAACTGGCATCATTTCAGATATACTTACAGGGGCATTCCCATCAGCTTCCATGAATGGTTTCAAAGTTTAGAGAGAAAGCTGTAAAAAGAGAAGGTTTGTTTACTTTAGTTCCTCATTATATTTTCATCTAATATTAGTCTTGGCAACAGAGTGAAAAAAGGTTTAATGTGATTTGTCTTGCCAAATCTTCATCCTTCCTTATTCTCTCGCTCTCTCAAAAATAGATCTTTCCTCAAGGTAACACCATGTTATGTGAAATAATTGTACTGATACAGAAGTCAACTATCAGTAAGAACCACTAAATATTATCCAAGTTTTTCTCTTAAATAAACATACTAAAACTCATCAATATGGTTTGATGGGAGCTGGTTTTAGTTAGTTTATTTGTTTTCAGAGCCTTTTGATTGGTTGGTTAGGGTGTTTTTGTAGGAAATGAATAGAAAGTAAATAAATCTTGGAATGTATTTCACCCCCTTACCAGTGCGATAGATATCAATAGAATTTTTATTTCCACTTCAGCTGAGTTATTGTGTGTTTTCTGAGAATTTTAATCAATTAGTCTACTCTCTTTACTGAAAGCAGAGGATTTAATAGTTCACTACCTTATAACAACTTGTAGCTTTCCAACCTGGACAGCAAAATCTGTGTAGTCCAGTAGCATATGCTAGGGGTTTTATTCCACGGATAAAAAGGTAACATGCTTTGTGTATACAATTTCCTTCAGTACATTGATTGCAGTCAATAGTCTGTTCCTTACATTATTTTCCTTATGTTGGTAAAATGAACATATAACAAAAGAATCTGTGTAGCAGAGATAGTAAAGGAAAACACGCCAACTTCTTTGTTGCAAGTAAAATTCCTATCGAACTCATCTCTTTGTATGAAAGAATCTCTCAATGAAAAAGGAGAGAGTAGAAGACTTTGCTGAGGTGAGCAAGAAGGGATTTCTAGAGACACTTCAGAAGATTTTGTAACAGTAACATTTTCCTGTTATTAAAACAAAAAAATTTAAGATATGTGCTATTCCTCCTACGTAATGCTTCATTTTGAAAATAAAATATTGGGAAATAAAACCCACCTACTGGCTTCCAGCAGTGTCAAACCAAAAATAGAAATACAAACAAATTCACATTCTTCTGACTCTCAGCTTCTTCTATTCAAAAATAGAAGGACACACTTTCTAAAAGTGGCTCAAACTAAAGTATTATGAAGATGAGGAAAGATTTTATAGCAAATAATTTCAAGGATGTTTAGAAATAATAGCCATTATAAACAAGCAGAGGAAACACCTTTACTTGTACAAGCAAATTAAATAAACTTCAAATGTTGTGCCAAAAAGTAATGGAAGAACAGACAAAATTATACTAATTATTGTGACATGTGGCTTTATTTCCTGTCAATTCTTCATTTCATGTATGCTTTGAGGTTTTAGGGGCGAGGAGAGTGTGTGTAATTACACAAACTGCCAAATTTGAATCTGCCACTATACAAGAAATGAGAGGAGAAGCATCAGTTAATTGGCAAGGAAATGTTTCCGCCTGTGTGACTTGTGCCAAAAGAGTTGAAATGGCGTCCAGCAGGTCTTTCTCAATGACTTTAACTCAAACTGTGGTTTGGTTTCCAGAAACCAGCTTAAGCAGTCTTTGAGCCAGCATCCAGATTTCAAAAGCAGTATTGACTTCTGTCTCATTCTAAGCAAGCATAAAATTTATTATTCCCTGTGTATGGAAAGGTGTAAATATATGTTCACTAAAGATTGGCTCTCATATAGATAACCTAAATTTATTTCCCTTAAATAAACCTATTCTGCGTGAGATAAGTTACACTGTGAAATAACATTAAGATTTTTATGCTTACTCATGTTACTCAACAGCTGCCAAACCAACACTTAGGAAGGGCATGCCTTGTTTATCTCTGCACTATAGTAAAGTGCTTCATTTCAATTATTCACAGCTGTTCCATGGGAGAAGCACCTATCCTTTCTGAATAGATGAATGGATTAAGTGATGGAGTTGGATAAATTTAGCCACTAAAGAAGAGCTATGCTATATCCACCCTACTGGATGGACCACCATGAGTCTACCAGGGCTGTCTCTAGAAACTGTAGTCCACCATCAAAATTCCCTCCCACACACTACAGTTAGATCTCCTGCTGAGCCATGTCCATTCCACGCCTATGATGTGAGATGGCCACGCCATTCCTCAGGCTTCACAGTAGTCAGGGAGCATGCCAGTATTTGGTGGTTTTGCTATTAAAAGGGCTTTCCACAGAACAAAACTACATCTGATCCCAGGAGATTAACAAGCCAGCAGGAGACAAGGACTGATTTTACATCACAGGGAGTCTGTCCTGATTCCTAACTGGAAAAGATGCAGCAGGAGAACAAGTGGCCTGGACCACCTCATTTCATAGCACTCGTTAAAGACTACAGACATGTGCATATCTTTGCCCCAACTCAGGCAGACATTAAATAAGTAGGGTATCACCTGCAAAAGGGTACCCTAACCACCAAGGTGAGGATGTGGTGTTCCAGTCCTCCCCTGAAGATTCCAGGATTGCAGTCATCTGTGGTGGATGCTGATGGAAAATGGAGCAAGTCAGAGAGAGAGAGAAAATAAAACTGAACACAGCAGAAGTTCTTCCACCTCAAGGGGTTTATAATGGAGAACAAACATTAATCTCTCACATCCCACAGGATAAAATGTAATTAATCTACTGGATTAAATCTAAACAGGACGGTTTTACATTATCAGTTTGTAAACCTACATTTATTTAGCTTTATTTAGAGATGTCATTTAATTTCTGTCTGAATTGAATAAATTATGCCAAAAGCAGTTTCAGGTAGAAGATTTCCAATTCAGTTTTCTGAGGGTTTTTTGTTTTGATTCAACAGCTGAACTACAAATATCAGATTGCATATCTTTATTTATTGGTACACCTTCAATCCTGCTCTTTCAAGAGTAGTAAACAAGTAGGTACATCAGAAATAGATGTTGCAATGAATGTGGAAATACAGTAAGTGACTTAACAGAAATATCTTGCAATCATTTCCATTTGCCTGCATCATCTGTTCTGAAATAAATAGAAATATCTCCGTTAAAGATCAAAGCAAAGTTAAGAGGGGAAAAAGAATGAGAAAAAATAGCTTGAAAAATAATCCACTGAATTTCCAATGATTGTCATTTGGGGAAAAGAAAAAAAAAACCTAACTTAATCCATTAGTAATACTCCTCTTGTGGAAGTTAAAATCTACGTGGCCTGATACTGTCTTATTATGATGACATTGGAGTAAATCTGCCAGATATGCCTTCCAAGCATCCCTCAGATGACATCCAGTGCAGGCATATGCTTTTCTGTTTTTGAGCAAAATATTTGAGATATGCAATATGAGTCAAACCATTTGTATTGTAGAAGCACCCAATATGTGCATAGCTCAGTGTCTATTCAGATGGCATTTAGAAAAATCCTGTTTTTTCCAAGCACCAAGTCAAGGTCATAAGAAAACCTGGAAAATAAATGTTTTGCCTTCCATTTCTCACTTTGGTCACTGTCTTTAGCATATCTGCTAACTTTCTGTTTGGCTGCCTACCACAATCTGCACTTCAATGGGCAAGGAATTGACAGGCAATACGAAATTAGCAATGGCACTACAAAAATGTGCCTAGAAAATCAATGATTACTTAATCACTGATCTCACTCAGAAGCATTAGGAATAACATTGCCTCAAATTAATTATAGCAGTGCTCGAAGCACTGTCCTGTGTCAAGGAGACCGCCTTATATAATAGTCCTAAATTATCACATTACTTCTAACTGAGGTTGTTGTAACAATGCAGGGGAAAAGTTATCACAACGATTAGTAATTGCCCTGAGGATTACTAGAGATCAATTTAATCTGTCAGAACCTTATCATTAGCTACTAATTAATCAGATCTAGTCAGTTATTTAACTGGTTAATTAAATGTCTAAATCAACAGTCCTACTTGCACAATCGATTTGTGATCTGCAGATTTGTTCCATTTCCCAGCTCACGAGGAAAGTCAGGTATTGAGCTGGTGACGTGCAATATGGCAAACAGGAAATGAAGCACTTTACACAAAAGCTCATGGACAATGCCGCCTCAGCTGAGTCTCCATTACTCCATATTTCCAAATGTAGATGAAACTACACCTTTGGTATTGAAAAGAACAAGTCTATTAAGGTATAATTATTAAAAAGTAAGTCGTAATTATCAAAGAATACTTTCAATATTGACAACAATGGATAAAGTTAAGCATACTAAGTAAAAATTAACCATTGAATAGCTGCATAATTTCTTATAGCAGGCCTAGCAGCAAGGAAATCCATCTGCCACATTATAACAGTATCAGTTATAATTTTATTTTTAAAGGTATTTGGAAATGATTCACTCCCCCCACCTGCAAGCAATTCAAAAAGGCAACTTCTGGCTCTGTTTGGGTGAGAGCCAGGATAAACTGGAACAAAGTTCACTGCTCCTGCCTCTGAGACAAAGAGGGTTTCCCAAGGGCCTGATGGGATGGTGGCCAGCCATGATCAGTTTGGCCAGGGAGCCAAGAGCGAGTGGCAGGGAACAGGCACTGACAGTTCCAAGAAAGCAGCTGCCTTCTAAAGGAAAGTGGCTGGGAAGAAAGACAAGTTTCAATAGAAGAGAGGAACTCCAGATGCCTTGGGGCCTCCCAGGTGAAAAAAAAAGAGAACACAGAAATTAGCATTTCTGCCCCAAACATGAATTTGCATGCAGGCTCCTTACAACATTGAGCTGATTCCTAGTGCTGTTCTGCTCTTAGAAAGTCATGCAAATCCCAAACAAAAACAAATGACAGAAGAGAGTACATCATTCTGCTCTCTGTTTTTGAGATCAGCCATTCAGCAAACGCAGCTTTGATGGAAAATGGCAAGGTCCAATACCTAAAGAGCAAACAAGAGGGATGTCTCCTCAACATAAAAGACCAGAACTATATTAATGTTAAATGCGAATGGTGGCAGTGGCAGGAACCTGAGCAATCCTCACTGGAAGTCTGCTCTGAAAAACATTTGCTATGAAGGCATTGCAGAAG